CTGGGTATTGCAGTATACTTAATACCACAACAGTCCTTGGCTGCTGGGTCTGGGATGGGTCTTGAACCTGCTGAGCCAGGATAAAATTCTACAGAAGGATGTATGTAAATTAAACTTCATCTCCTTCATCATTTAGCCAAGCTAGCCCATTCTGCAAGTGACACCACTCAAATAGCCTTTTCAGAGCTCAAAATTAATGACTGCCTAGGATGAACTTCCTATTACCAGCAGACTCTTACGCTCTGTAGTCTCACATAAGTTTCTTAATGAGTGTTCTCTACTAAAAGAGAATTCAGTTTGTTTGTTCCTTTTCTTTTGTATTTCAGAATGAGGATTCTGACTCTGGTTCGACAACATGGAAATGGACTGTGGAACACGTCCTTTACAAAGCTTTTAGGACTCACCTTTTACCTCCTAAGCACTTCACAGAAGATGGGAACATTCTGCAGCTTGCTAACCTGCCTGACCTGTATAAAGTTTTTGAGAGGTGTTGAGCATGTCGTTACTCCTACAGACTGGTTTCTGGATACGCACCATTCACGTGAACAATCTGTTTCATGTAGTAGAGGATAAAGCCGGAAGCGCAGTTACGGAAGGAGGGGATTGAATGTCATACTGAACTGATAGCAAGTGGTCTATTCTCCTTCTGTGGATCAGACAAAAACAAGAACTGTTTTAACTAAGTTTAAACCTAACTGAAGTTCCTAAAATAAAATCTTCACTTATGGTTTGAGTCTCACTATTAAGAATGTAACTTCTCTTGAAGACCATTAATTGGTTAAAGTAATTGTGAAAGGGGGTGGAGCTTAATTTAATTGAAGGGGGAGTGCTTTACCTTAGCTTGCTTCTTGAAAGCAACATGGGTTACCTACCTCCTTTTTGTTAAGAGTGACTGTTGTGACAGTACCCACAGTGTGAATGTACAGCTAGTCTCGCAATATTTCTGACCCCCTGCTGAAATAAGACCCATCCCTTCCTTTTAACCAAGGAGTCTGAAAACAGAAACAGGCATCCTCTGACAAACAAACATGCACAAAACACTCGTTGCACAGAAGAGTTGCAGCTGACAGTCTGACCACAGGTCTCAATGTGAGAGGAAGCCATTAGTCTTGCTCAGGCAGAAAAAAATCCATACTTGAGCTTTAATTTAACCCCTGGCCTTCCTCGAGACCATCACAAACCTGAATTGTCACGAGGCGGCCCTTGGTGCCACTCCACAGCTTCCATGGGGTGGCTTAGAGGAAGCGAAGTGGAAGCAGATGTGCTCCCCACTACATGCCAAATGAGGTCATTAGCAGACAGTTTATACTTGTCAATGCTCTCTAACCCCCCAAAGCATTCTTTATCTCTAGAATATGCACTAGAAGAACAACTAACCGAACAAATACACTGAATGCAGAGAGTCAGCAGCAGAGGCAATGAGCTGTGATCACTGAACTGCAACTGTCTCCAGTTCAATGAGTAGGCCCAGGGAGATCTGATCCACACCAGGATGTTTCTCAACAGGGAAAGCATTTTCTAAGTCCAAGAGGCATCCAGCATCCAAACTGAAAAAAAAAGCAAGCTTCAGTTTTGCATTACAAACATGTCTGCTCCATCTGAACGTGGGTCTGGTATAAGCAGAAGCACTAACACTCTGGATTGCAGAGATCCTGAAACCTGCCTTGCTCTGAGAAAGATTCCTGAAGGGCACCAGTTTGCAACCGGAAAGCACCAGATAGAAGTTCAAAACGCTGATTCCTCTCAGATTAAATGCTGCTGCTTTTACTGGCCTCAAGAGAAGCCTTAACACATGCAGGGTCACTTCAGCTATTCCCAGACTGCTGCCGCAGGTGCCATTCATTTCCCACTTGTGATGTGCCAGCTGGAAATAACAATGAATGCCATCAGGAACTTCCATTGAGAGTGGGCTACAGACAAAACCCACGCTGTTCCAGAAAGCCCCTTCTTCCTCACACTGGCCCCCTTTGATGGCAGCGCTGTCACCGAGAGAACTACGGGAGCATCACGTCCTCCTGAGCCAGCCAGACCCGCAGTGGGGAAGGGACACGCGCAGGGCTCACCCTCCACACGCCTAACAACTGAGCCACCCACAAAATGAACTCGGAAGTGAACTGGCTTCGCCCCATGTCTTACTGTGTGGTGACTGGGGACACTGGGCACAGAGGGACGGTAACGGGAAGCACGTTCACATTGTGACTCTGCCACGCATTGCCATGGCTATAGCCCCCATCTTCGGCCTGCAGCGTACTGCTGCATCACTCCGAAGCCAAACCGGATGTGACGCCTAATGGAGCAATTTGGTAAAGCTGATGTTGAACAGGAGAGGCTCCCTCTGTGGCACATCTAAAAACGGTCTGTAGTTGTGCACAAGCATGCTTAAACAGGCGTAAAGCGTGGGAGCAGGTGGGCGGAGTGCACTCTCGTGCCATGCAACAAGTGGCAGGTCCTGATCACACGGTCCTGCAGATTCCTGATCGCCCCCCTAAAACCAACAACCCAGAAAATCGTATTTTAAGCTATTAATTTTTTCTCCCTTGTGGTATTTAATGGAAACCCAATTACATAGTGCCAAGTCTCTGGCAGCAAATGAAAAATATTTGTGAGGCTAAAACAGCTTTTTATTAAATACATGTTAGTTCAAAGCTCTAAGCAACCTGACAGAGGTTAACTCTCTTTCTCTTGGGAAAAAATTAAGGAAACTCTTCTTGAAAGATGCATTTTGAAGTCATGATTACAGTAAATCATCAGTGAAAACACTAAGCCTGTAATGAATTACCAAATGACAACCAGCTAATGGTATCAATTCAGTCAACAGCTGCCTGGGTTTTGGGGGTTTTTCCTTTTTTGATTGTTCACTGAATCCTGCTTCGTGAAACAAGATTCATCTCAAATCTTGTTTTCAAGCCCAATAAAAAGCAAACCCAAGAAATACAAACAGCACACAGCCACAGTTGCCGTGTTCACAACAGTTCAGAGATTCAGCTTTTCAAAACCAGAACACCCCGGGTTGAGCTGCTTCCTGCCCGCTTGTTAAGCTGCTCAAATCAACTCCGTTGCTCACGAGTCACAGGCAAACAGAAGAATTCTACGGGAACAGTTCTCCAGGCCTGACAGGCATTAGTCGAGCAGAGTTAAAATGCTCAACACGCTCAAGTCCAGATTCTGCTGTTCCGTTGTTGTTTGTCTGAGCAGAATTTGCATCACTAAGATCAAGAAACCTCTCACAACAGCCAGTATCACACTGCCCCCCAATCTCAGCAAGCCAGATTCAAGGTCATTCGTCTTAAGCTTGTTGCTTCCCATTATTAAATCTCAGCAGGGTTCAGTCACAGCCCTTTATTTCAAAAATCATCTACCTGCTGCCCGGGCACCTCTTTAGGTGACACCAAAAGAAAAAAAGAAAGTTATTTCAGGTTGAATGTTTCAGCTCCTTCCTGTGCCATAGCTGGTGCATCTTAGATTTCCAGGAGTAACCGCCTCTCACAGCAATAGCCAGAGAACCATTCGTGGAATCACCAACGGGAGCACTTCCCTTGGCAAACTACCCGTGCATGAAAACAGGGCATTTCATTTAACTCAACATTCAGATCGAGAACCCCCACCACACCCATGGCGGTTGACAAAAGGTTTGCAAAATCTTCACCTCAAGTTTGCCAGTTATTAACGTTTGGTGCAACAAAATAGACATTCCCTGGATTTCCTGTCAGTGGTGCATATGGCTTGTTTTCTGTACAGCTAATGATATCGTATTCATCTCCCTTTCCTAATTTTTCCGAGTACTGAACTGTAGGGGGCTCAGATTTCCAGAGGAATTCGTTATTGTGGATTAAGGAAGGTGTGCAGATAGCAGTGCCCCTAGATGAAGTTCAGAGGGTTAATGGAATTTTTGACCTATCCCAGATGCATTTTTCTCATCGAGTTTAGTATTTGGTTAGGAAAATTCCAGCATTGTTAAGTAACAGATGTTGTTCTACTTTATTCTCCTAAGGATTTATTCTTACCTGCAACAGATCTTGGATACTCTGAAGTGACATCAGCGAGACTTGATCCCGGCTTATTTTTTCCATCCAGCACTCCCAGTAAAGAATTTCAGGAACAGCGTACTGAAGCCAAGGTAAACGCTGACTACCTTCGACATACACTGACCTTCAGCGTGAAGGAAGACAGGCTGCCTAATCTTCTGGCCATACATTTATTGACAGAGCTGTAATCTGGAGCGAAAAGGCAGGCTATAATTTTACTGTTCAAGTTTCACAGCAACCGAAGTGAAATAAAATAGCTGTGACTGTATTCTCAAAACACCTGCCTAAACGTAGCTCTTGCAGACTTCAATAGCATCACCTTCGTCTCTGTCTTCCTCTCCTTTCCTCTGGTATTGCCCCCAGAATGGTCTTTATTTCACGCTGTAGCCTCAGCTCCAGCAGCACAACAAAGCAAGGGATCACGTTACTGGCTCAAACCCACTTTTACTTAATGATCTCCCAGCCTACCGGCAAATCTCATACCCAACGCTGAAAAAGAGTAGGGAGATCCTGCATCCACACAGCCCTGAAGAATGTGGAACACAGGTATCCCTCAGCAGTCTCTGGGGCTTGGCCAGTTCCCCGCTGGGAGTTTGACAGCAGCAGTGGCTGACAAGCCCCTGCTGTCAGCTCATTGATTTGTTAAGACTGAGCAAGGGGAAGCCAGTGTACGTTTCAGTGCTCCGAGGACTGGCTTTCCATTTGTGCTTTATGGTGGAAAAGCCCCGCGAACTGAAACGGTCGTCGGCGGTTCGAGGAACAGCTGCGATGGAAGAGTCACTGCATCCTTTCGGTATCATGTAAGCAACAAAGAAATGATGTTCCAGTGCCTCTGCAGCTCCCTACAGTCAACCAAACAGCACTACAGCGCTTCTTTCACAAAATCCAGGCGAACTGGAAACTCCACAAGAACTACAGGAATGGCGCAGGCGGATTTTCAGTTGATAATGCAACAAAACATCATAACACGTTACCCACGGTTTTACATTTTTATTTTAGAAAGTGAACATATCCATTAAAAAAGAAAACGCATGGAGTTAAAAAAAGTAAACGTAAAACTAATGGCAAATTTGCAATAACGTAAAATAATTTTACCTAGTGAGGCCCGACAATCATTAAATATACTTCCACCACAGAGAAGTTTTACTTCATTATATTACCAGTCTCTTGATTAGGTACACAAGACAACACTTTCCAGTAATTACCTAGTCATTAGAAGATCAACTTCAGGAATCACTGAATAATAAAATACATCATGGACAAATATTTTCATACCACCTGGGAGGCAACCTAATATACATATGTCAACAAGGTACATCTTTGTGAGGTATTACAGTACACAGGAACCGTTCCCTTCACTTCCTAATGAGTAAATTCTCCCACCAGCAGCTCCACCAGCAAGTCAGCCACAGACTCTGTTGCCAGTTTCCAAACCCCACCAACTTCCCACAGAGATTTTCTTCCTGTAACAGATTGCACAAGTCAGGATGAATGAAGATGCAAGTCAAGCAAACAGACATTGAAAAGAAAGGGTCATCCGCTCTTC